ATGAGATTTTCGATGTGAGACAACATGAGATAACTACCTCATGTAAAATGAGAGTAGTATTTCCCTAAAATAATTCACTCCCGTTTGAAATTAAAAAATCATGAAATTTGTCAGATCTTAAAAAAGTGATGATCGATTAATTTATTTCTCTGACCAATGACGTCGCACCTGACGAATTTGTGTTTGTACAATTTTTTAATAAATGTTGGTGTACTATTATACTATAACCATATTTATTAAAAATAGTACATTTAATAAATGTGGTCGTACTACTATTTTTGTAAATGAAAAAATATATTAATAAATTATTTATCTTATTTGCAAATGTAATTGATAAACTTTAAGATTCCATCCAAATTCTGTTAATTAATATATCAATGTTTCATTTATCATTAAAAATAATGTAAAGTGAAAAACAAGAAAATTAGTAAACAAGAGACAAAAACGAAAGAGAAAAAAAGAAGAAGAAGAAAGACATTTTTTTCAAATAATTTTACTTTTTGTTTAGAGAGGTTTTAATTCTACCAAAAGAAAAAATCTTAAAATGAAAATAGTTATTTGATTATTTTTTGAGTTGTAATTAAATTTTAGCCACGGTAAGATATTAATGATATAAATGTAATATATAATTATAAAGATGTAAAAATGTGAAATATAACTAATTCAAAATATCATACTAAAAATAGAGGTATTTTATCTAAAATAATACACATATTTTAATTTTTTTTATCACAGATAAAGTAATATGTTCATTTTGTAACAAATTTGTTTTTGAGTTTAAAAAAATTGAACCCAAATATTTCACTTAATTTTCTTTTTAGCTAAATAATAAGTGTGAGTTAGACGAATGCCCCATCCAATATCAGCATTATCCTATATTAATTGTGTTTTATTTGCTTCAGTTATAGGTTATTGAATTTTCTTATTTTGTTTTTTAATACTTAATTTATAGTTATGACATACAACACTTTTATTTTTCTTTCATAACTTATTATTATATAGGTTTTATAAGAATTATGTTGTAGGAAAAGTGATTATGTAATGTTATAGAGATTCGTTTTGCGTGTCGAATTTTTTTTTTCTTCAAAAAGTGTGGGCTCCACAAAATGTTGTGTGTGTAGGAAAGTTTGTTTTGTCATGTTAAATGACAAATACAAATCCCTTATTATATATTCATAGATATTTTTGAGAGAGCTAACCCTATCATCACGATATAAATATTTTTGTCTCAAACAGAATTGACCCCTATTGACCCGTGTAGAGAATATCTACAATTTATAAAAAAATATTACATTTCAAAATTGAAACTTTTAAGCAACATTGTAAAATAACAAAATTATATTTGTTGATTACCAAAAATAAAATAAGATGATATTTGTTCGTGTATTAAAAAAATGATATTTGTTCAAATTATTATTACATAGATTTCCTTTTTCATTCACTTAAGGAATTATAATTTTTTCATTTGACTTTTTATTTTCTTAAAACACGAATAATTAGACATTTGATTACTTTATTTTTTATTCCCTTTTACTATAAACAGTTGAAAATTCCTTTCTCTTAAAAAAGTACAAACAGACAAGCTTATAATTTATTTGCAAATCTTAAAATATTTATTTCCAAATACTGAAACACTTAGCGCAAAGATCTGCAACATAAATTTCCAATCTTTTTTTTATCTCCATTTCTTTACTGTCATTTTCAATGTTATTTATTTATTTGTAATCAAAGATGCACTTAAGAGGATGTTAGGTAGTGTACCGTTGGGATCTATAAGTTCACTATGTTCTCTTCCGGGATAAAAGTCATTGTATGGGTTGTACTTCTAACACACGTAGAAACCAAGCTAGGAATCTCTATCCCAAATATGAATGCTAACAGACAACCATGGGGGGTATGTGTATGTGTGTGACTCAAGGATTATGAGCAGAGTAACGACACATAAGATGTCTCATTATCTGTGAGGGGAGGTATTTATAGAGGGATGAGATGTCTGCTCTGCATGGATTGGTGAGAGGGGGTCAACCCTCCTTGAGATCAGCTAGGGGTGGCTGACACTGCTATGATAGCAGTGATATAGCCCCTGCTTCGGTGATGTCAGCATATGACGATGGAGATTACTATTTATGATGTCTGGGGCGGTCTTCCAGGGAATTAGAATCCCGAGGTAAGACATTTTGATGTCTCACCTAGGGGGTGCAACCGCCTTGGGAACAGGATGGATGGAGGGTTGGTAGGACTGACGTGGATAAGGAAAAATACTTTGGCTCAGGTCATTGGGCTGTATGAGATTGGGCCATCCGGAACATGTAGGATGTAATAAAAAAGTTCCTAGAAAAAATGGGGTGGAGAAAATTATTTGTTTATGTTTGGTAGGAGGCAAAGTAAAAATATAGCTGAATTTTTTTTTCCCCATCTTGGGAAAGATTACCATTGAAAGGGTGGAATTATTTTTTTCTCATGTAGTTGGAAAATTAACACATAATATCAGTAAAATTATCTCAATATTTCCATAAAAATTTTGGCCTATCAAACACCTTATAGTAACTTAATCAGAATAAAATAATTTATCATCATATTCCCAAAATATATTTTTTTCCATAAAAAAAATTTCTCCTATACCACACTCGATAAATGACTCTTGTCTTCCACGAACAACTTCTACTTTTACATTCTATCTGTTAGTTTATTTAGGATTTGTTTGAGAGTTTGAAGGGAAGGGAAGGAAGTGGATCCAGGGAGGAGGGAGGGGAAGGAAATTGAAGGGTATTCACTTCCTTTATTTGGGAGTTAATGAGATATTTTCACCATTTTACCTAATTTTTAAAATAAATATAGTTATTATATTTTACAAATTAAATTAAATTTAAAATTTCTAACAAATTTTTTTACTGAAATGTTTTTAGTCACAAATTTTGATGGAAACATTTTTCGTGGATAATTTTGATGGAAATGTGTTTCGTCAAAATTTTGGACGGAAATATTTTCGTAGAAAGTTTTGACGGAATTTAGATTCTATCAATAATTTTGACTAAATTTTTTTCGGTAAAAAATTTATATCAGTGATTATGGCAAAATATGGTTCCGTATCTAATTTCGTCTTTAGTTTTGATGGAAATTTTTGGACGTATATGATTTGCATAAAAAATTCATTACTATTTTTTACGAAATATTTTTCGTCGATAAATTCTGTCGGTATTTGAGACTATTCTAATAATGTCATTTTTAAAAATGATTCACATTTACGTAGTTTTTACATTTTAATGTTAAGCGTAAATAAGTAATTTTTAATATTTCTCTCATCAAACTCTCCAAATTGGAAGAACTTTAATTTTAAGAAGAGGGAGTGTTTAATAAAAATCCCCAATTTTTTTCTCTCATTTTTTTTTAGACTCACAAATAAGAAAAGAACTTACTAAAACCCTTATTTTCCCTTCTAAAACTCACTTTTAAACAAAGCCTTAGATACTTCCCTATGCCACTTTCCCACCCAATGTCTAAGTGTGTGACTTTCCTTGCGTTGTACCATTTTCTTTTTATGGAATATCCGAGTTGATTCTTAAATATTTTTTACGTCTTAAATGAAAATTATTGTAATTATTAAAGTAAAATTTTATTTAGAAAAAAAAATTAATACAGACTTGAACAAAAAAAAAAAAAAAAAAAAAACTCCTGTTTGTTCCTCAAATGTCATGGAGCTCCTACTTCTGTCGCAGGTAATGACTCGCTGTAAAGATACTCTAATCATTAAGTCAAATATCAAAAAAGAAGAAGAAGAGAACCAATTATTGGTATTTTAACTTGGAACTTATTATTCGAATCTGGAACTTGACCGTTCTCTCCCTCCTACGATGAACCAATTTTATAATGGTCACACTGCATAAGGTGGCTACTCTCATTGATGGGAGTCCCTCTCAAGTTGGAACCTACCAAATAAACAATCTTGTCCTCTTTGTCATATCTATTCGGCGCATTCCTAATAATTTCTTCGATTTTATTTTTATCTGTTTGTTTGATTGTTTTATTAGTTCGCTTCGAGCGGTACAAAAATAATAAAATTTCCCCTATTAAATTTTTAACGCAATTACATACGGGACACTTGAGTTTAATTTCAGGATTACCTAATTGTAACAAATATGCAATTTAATTTGCAGCCTTTCTTAATGGGTTTAACATTTTTATCTTTGTTGTATATATATATTTTTTGTTCTACATCCATACAGAAGTGAGTGGATTTCATTAATTTTTTTTTCTTCTTATATTAAGACTCACTCACTTTTAGTGAGTGTGACAACAAAAAAATTCTACCAAAAACATAAGTATTTTTCTTTTTTCTAATAGGGTTTGTTTTTTTTAAAGTTACTTTAGATAACTTTATCAAATGTTCATTGAAACGACATCGTTTTGGAATGAAAATCATGGTATTTTTGTAATTTTAATTTATTTCAAAGTTATAATAGTCTTTATCATTCTAATTTTTTAATTTTTCAACCCTAAAACGACGTCATTTCGATGAACATTAGACAAAATTATCTAAAGTAACATTAAATACTTTTTTTTTTTTTTTTTTTTTGGAGGTTCTTTTTTTCCTTTCTAATATACACTCATTGTGTAAAAAAAAAAAATTGCTCTTAAATGCCTGCGAAACCAGGGATGTTCGGTGTCACTTACAGCTCATTAATGCTTTTTCTAATATTAACTTGGAGGCATACAAATATCGAGCAATGAGTTTCATGGATAAAAAGGGTTACTGGGTTAGTTAGGCCACAACCGTGATGGGTATTATACAAGGGCCTATACTTGGGCCTATTGTAGAGAACGGGCCTAAAAGTGAAGTTGCACTCGGACGTCGGGCCAATTAATTACTAAGTTCGGCCCGGGTCTCAATCTGTGAGTGTGAGTTCAGCATATTCTAGAAACTCAAAATGGATTTAGCGCAGGGAAGGTACTAGAAGTCTAGTAGTGTCGTCCAACAGACGTTTATTTATGCCATATAAATACTATTGTTTAAAAGCTAAAGTTGAAGAAGGGTCAGATTTGGGGTTTCTCTCAGTTGCTATCGAAGAAGGAACTAGGGTTTTGCCATACCTGCTTTTTCTCTTAGGTTTTTATCAATCAAATCAAACATGAGGTACAAATTACCACACCTGCATCTTCTTGCGCTGGATATCCTGTCGTAATCTCTTTGATTATTATCCTCACGTTTTTTTTGTTGTTGACAATATTATTATGAAGCTGCTTTTCTCATTCATTTCTACTTTTAAGATTTGGGATTGTAATTGCATTTCTATCGATCAAATTATTTGTTTCTCCTTATACTCTCTCGTCAAATGATTCCCGATGGCAGATTGTGTTGCTGAAAATGCATTTGGAAAAATAAGTACCGATGTTTTTTTATTTAGTCTCCTTTTATTTATTTTAATACAATTTGTTCCTTGACCTAAATTCCTTTATCATTTAATTTTTTTTATTTTATTTTTTTATAATTTGAGTTGCTTCATTTCTTGTGGAAATATGGATGATCTGCAAATGATTGCTGAGTTCATGAAAGTGGTTTGTGATTTGTGACTGTTCAGTATTTTATAATGTCAGCTGTAAGAACTCTCAGCAGGTCGTCGGTTTCACCGTTTGATTTTCCTTTTTGCATTGCATGTATTTTTGAACCCTCTCTCTTTTTCCCGTCATCTCTTAATTTGTTGCAATTTTCGATTGCAGTCGTCATCCCGAGGTCAAGTGGGCTCAGAGAGTAGACAAGGTCTATATCACGGTGCAATTGGCTGATTCCAAAAATGCTAAAGTGGATCTTACTCCAGATGGTGTTTTTACCTTCTCTGGCAGTGCTGGTGCTGAAGACCATCAATATGAGCTCAAACTGGAGCTCTTTGACAAGGTTAATGTAGAGGTGAGAGCACTTTCCAAATTTGTGGATAGCAATCATAGCATTAACATCTTTAAAAATGTTTTCTTTTTCTCCATTCCTTTTTCTTATGAATTGAATTTTAAGACGTGGCCTGATAAATGCCTGCTCATACTGGTGGTGTTTGTCCTCTAGCTTTATATGCATTTTCATAATCGTTGTGTTTAAGTTTCATGTTATTTGTTCAGTCTTTTTCTTCTTCTTTTCCTGAGCAATATTTTCTGATTTGCTTCAATTGCTAACATATGGGTTTCTTTGATTTATTTTTAATGCATTTCCTTCACCATTATCTCGTTTCAGGAGAGCAAAATTAATGTAGGAGTGCGAAGCATATTCTGTGTCGTGCAGAAGGCAGAGAGTGGATGGTGGAAAAGGTTGCTGCGCGGAGAAGGCAAGCCTCCACATTATGTGAAAGTAGATTGGGATAAATGGGTGGATGAGGATGAAGATGATGTTATTGGTATGCACGTTTGTAAACATGTTTTTCTAATGAAAATTTTTATTGTGCTATGAAACGCAATATCATTTTATGCATAGTCTGATTGATTTTTCTCATTGTTGGTTGGTTAGGTGAACCGGATATGGGAGGGATGGATTTCTCGGTATGCGATGCGTCCATTTGATTCTCTGTCTCAACCTTTTCTCCTAATGATATCACTTCACCCTTATAATTGTTGTTATTTTTATATTTGATGCAGAAATTTGGTGGGATGGGTGACGATGCAATGGGAGGAATGGGAGGGATGGGAGGAATGGGAGGGATGGGAGGGATGGATTTCTCTGTATGTAATGTGCTCAATTGATTCACTGTTCTCTTATTGATGTTATTTGTCCTAATTACCTTTGCATCCTGCAGAAATTTGGTGGGATGGGCGACGATGCAATGGATGATATTGATGAGAATGAGAGTGATGATGAAGGTATCTATGCGAAATTTTGTTGTTGATATCCCCCCCTCCCAAAACACCATCTTGACTATAATAAAGCTTGCATGATTTTTAATTTGGGATGGTAGTTAAGCAAGTTGTGGCGTGTGGCTTTTACATGTTTAATTTTGTTAATGTGCCTGTACGTGCATGCGGGGTTGTTTGCCGGTTTTTTATTTGTTTTTTTTTTTTTTTAAGGAAATTGGAATATTTGGATAACGTACTGGTCTATTGCAACTTTTGGTTGTAAGGGTAGCTATATGGTATATTAAATATTTCTTGGTGAGATTAGGGATTTTTGTTTCCATCAGTTATAAGGGTTTTGGTGGACATGTGTATGGTTGTGGAGTCTAGAGGAGAGTGTTACATGTTTAGTTATTCGGACAGCAGGCTAGAACTAAGATGGAGAATCGAAGTTGATTGTAAGGAGTCAGTGTTCCCAAATTGAAATGTCTAGTTTGATCAGAGGGGTTGCTTCTAAATTGTGAAACTTAACAGTTAAAGCTGATTAGCTCATCAGAATTGGAGATTTCGAATTTGTTAATGCAACTATATTCAAATTTCAAATGAATAAAATGTAAATAGGAATCGATGTTTAGGTTCTCTTTCTCATCCTGTGTCGCAAATAAGTAGTAACTCTAACCATTGGCTTTATTCAGAATAAATCTTATATCTTTACTACTGTCACGTACGCCTGAAAAATGTTTTAATTTTTTTTCATTTTTTAAATCAAAGAAGGAAGTAAACGGTGGGGCATAATCTTGATGCATGTTGCTTCAAGGGTATTGCAACTTGGAAAAGGGGAATTAAGAAAAGAGGATTTACCTTCTCCCTAGGTTTACTTCTCCGAGGTCCTAACATCAACATGCTGCAACTTGCCCCCTTTATTTTCCCTTGTTTTGCTTTTCCATCACTTGATATTGCTATATGGTTGTATTTGGAATTTTGGATCATTTATGTGTTTATATTTTGATTTAATCTACAACGTAAATATAAAATTTTGACAAATATATCTTGTGGTTATAATATAATATCCTCAAGATATTTGGTATAGATTATGGACCGTTATTGTCATACCCGAGCAATCATTTACTGGGCTAATCGTACTATTTTTGTTTGCCGACTGTATAGAGCAAGAAGTGTCAAATCCTGGAGAACAAGATGCTGGCAAGAGCGTTGGTGAGGCATCGACCGAGAAAGAAGCTGCTTCTAGCACATAATGCACTCGCAGTTCAAGATGCTGCCCTTGAAGATGCTTATAAAAATTGTCGAGTGAATTTTTCACGCTCTACCATTGATTGGTAGTTTTTTAAATGGAGACGTTAGTGTCTCTCGTGTGTTGGCTAAACATTTAGCACAAAGCTCGTTCTAGTTGAATTAGGATATTGTATAATTGAGATGTTTAATTTATGCATGAATTGCGGTATCTGGATTTCTATATTAATATGTTCCATGTTTTAGATCATGTTCTGAATTCTGATTAATGTTTAGGTAGTCTTAGTATTGCGACATGCAACATCGAAATTGCCGTGAGTACGAGTAGTGCGTTTAAGTATATTTTTGTTTGGTCTTTCAGTAAATTTTGATATCTATTTTAATTTCTAGCAAATAAAAAGGTTTATTATAGTCTTTAAAAAATTCAAAATGAATTTATTTAGTTGAAATCGTAGTTTTTTACAAATTTAAAAAAGATTCATATTAGTCCTTAAAAGAACTAAAATGAGTTTATTTTAAAATTTTTAAAGACCACGATGAACTTTTTTATTTACTAAAGAGTATATCGTAAAATTTGCTTCGGCTGAGAATCAAAAAATATTTATTCTAAACGCCCCCTTTGCTCACCGCCGCCCACTATAAGCCTCTTATAACAGGATAAAAGCTGAATCTAAAATAGTTAAAAATGAGATTTTAGTAGGTAAAAAATATTAATAAAATATAAGATTGTTCTGTGAAAAATTTATAAAATCACTAGAAATATTGATAAAACTGTTTTGATAAAACAAAATTGTAAAAATGTAAAAATGCAAGTACGTGGGGATTTTAATTATCATTGTTAATAATAATTAATAATCCTTTTTTCAAGGGAATACTAAATTCACTCGTAATAATGCTATAAGTCTATAACCGTTAAGCTTGAGTTATAGACTTATAAGTCAAGGACGTGTGTACTGAATAAGGAGCTTGGGATTGGGAGAAGATTAACAACCTGCTCCCTCTAAACGTAATTAGAGAAATAGCTGGCATAACTCCTCCTAATCCAAGCAATGGAGAAGACAGAGTGAATTGGGAGCTATAACCTGTGTCCCAGATGTAACATCTTCATAGAAGATCGTCTCCATACCTCTAGGGATTTGAGAGGCATTTTTGTTGGCCTCGGATGGTTACTAGTTAGCCTTCTTCTTTCTTGTTCTGTTTCTGTTTTTGATTTTTTTTCTATTTCTGTTTTGCTGATCTTTTCTTGTATTTCAAAATAAAAATAAAAATAAAAATAAATAAATCTGTCTCTACTTGACAACTAGGGGTGTTTGATAGATGATTTTTGTTTAAATTTTTGGGAAACTAAAAGTGTTAATCTAAGTTACCTGACAGAAGATTTATGGAAAAATATTCGGGAATGTGATTTTCCCTATATTTTGTTTTGTAAACAAAATTTAATCAAGAACACTATTCAAAAATATCCCCCAAAAGTGATATTATTGAATTTCCAAAAAAATAAAAAATTTAATATATTTCTAGAAATATTTTCAATCAACAAAACATAATATCAGAAAATTTGATATAATATTTCTAGAAATATTTTAGTTTATCAAATAATTTTTTTGTAATATTTTCGAAAAAATCAATTTCCTATTATATTAATCGTAATTTTCGAATAAAAAAAAAAATTCTCTTGCCAAACTGGGACTGTTTGGTAGGAGTAATTTGTTTAGAATGATAGGAAAATAAAAGAGGGATTCAAATATTATATTTGACAAGGAGTTTTCACAATATTTATCTGGTCATCCAATTTGCCCTTGATTCGATGTTATGTGTAAATTGTGAGTCACTTTCCCTCCTCAAAATACCACCAAAGTCCAAAGGGGTGGTATTTTTCATTTACCTGATGTTGGGATTTGGATACAAAATTTTTTGTACAAATGTGCTCTTCTTCTCCATGTCTTCATTTCTTCATCTCTCCGCTTGTTTTACGTGATTTAATTCACAATATAGGAATCATGGGACTGCATAAGAGATACATAGAAAGAATATGTAAAACAAAAGTAGATGATACGCACCGATCTGGATCTCGATGCCGAAGAAGAAGAGAAGGAAGCGCAAAACCGAAAGCATTGGGGCACCACCACCAACAATGCACAGCGCCTTCATTTCTCTCTAACTGTCACCACTAAACTTTGTTCAGTTCTGTTAAATTGTTTGTAACCCTCTTTCTCTTCTGGGAATATTAAACTGTTGTTAATGACTTTGCCATGTATGGTTCTCTCTCTTTGGGAGATCGTTTCTATGTGAAGACAAGAAAATGTTCATTATAATTTTTTCAAGAATAAAATAAAGATGGGGTTATTTTTGTAAAATAACCTCGTATTCCTACTAATATTTTACACTAAACCAAATAAGGACTCAGTAAACTTAATCACAAAATCTCAGTAATATTTTAGCATACCAAACAACTTTTTTATAACATTCCCAGATAATTCACTTTCTTATTATATTTCTGGTGATCATGATTCCTAGGTGATCCGGACAAAATATAGAAGGCCCAGTGGAGGCCCAATAATACACACAGCCCAATCTCGTGAAGGGTCCAGAACTAAGCGCGATAGTCATCATCGCGCACACAGCAAGACGCGATGCCCTCATCGCGCATGGAACCGCCCTTAGGCATAAACTCCAGGAAAGAGGAAATTAACTTGAGAACTATGGCAAAGCCCACCGCGCCTTTGAACTAATAAACAGAGGACAGCTCCAGCTTTTCGCGACTCTATAACTTGACATTAAGAAGATAAGGCTACTCAGGTTCTAGCCTGACCTGCAACCCAAATCTGACCAATCGGAGGCCATACCGTCTTACTAGGGTGGCATCACAACCGCTATATAAGCCAAGGGTACAACACCTAGATACATTCATCCTTTACATTAAGAACATACAAACTCATGTCTCTGATACTGACTTAAGCATCAGAGTGTCTTTGCAGGTACTCCCCATTCAGATTCGTCGCGTAAATAAAGGACAGAGACATAGTGATATCCAACTACAACTCCATGCCCAAGACCAAGAACACCACCCACATTCCAACCGTGTGTGATTAGGCTTGATACATATTGATCATCCCATATTGTATTTGATTTGATCACTAGGCATTAAAAAATTTCTCCTTTACCAAACGCCGTAGTGTAAAGTTGAAGTTAATTACGTTAGGTCTGGATTTTAAAAGTGGTTTTATGTTGAGTTTTACATTTTGAATTATCTCTCCCCACTTGATCTCGCATAAATTTTTAAAATTGAAGTTTGTAACTGGCGATCAACATCAATTTTTAAAAATTTAATTATTTTCTATGGGTGTAATTTTTTATTTTACAATTTTTTGTAAGTAACTTTATTTTTTGATATATTTAATTTAAAATTGTGACTTTTAATTTTTTTGAATAATTTAAAATAAGAATAAATGCATAAATAAAAAATAAGATTTAAAAGTTAATTTTTAAAAATAATATAAAATTATATTAAAAGGATATTTTTGTCTATTTATATCGTACAATATCACTATATTATAATGGAATAATATTATTCTATCAAACTATTTATCTAATACATATCAAATACGGGATAAGAAAATTGCTTATCAAACCTATATTATTTCGTATTTTAATTTAATATTCTTAACTTATCAATTTCTATCATATCATACCCAACAAACATGCCTTAGTCTTACTTGATTACGAGTCTAAAATTAACCAAAACTCAAAGAAAAGTAACCCAGTCACAATATTAGACCAGGTTACGGTTTGGTTATTCTAAATTATAAATAAATGTAAAAAAATGGATTTAGTATTTCTTATGTGATATGAAAAAAAAAACATTTTCTACACGTATATAAAAATAATGAGACTCATACAGGGCCATATAAGGAGAATAACAAGAAGAAAATATGAATCTCATATAATTTTATATTACACAGGAGATAAAATTATCTACTATAAACACGAAAAATACTAATCCCTAAAAATATATGAAAAAAATATTTGTCCTTTTAAATGACACAACTTGTGTCATTTCACCCTCAGAAAGAGGTAAGACTTCATCTTTATTTTGTTTCCACTCTCTCTTCCTCATGATCTATCTCTTTCTCTCATTTAAAATGACATAACTTTATCTTTTAAAATGACATATATTTTCCCCAAAATATATATGTAAATAAAATAAAAGATGTTGTGATCTACACGTTAATATTTCTACTTTAATTTTTATTAAAAAGAATAAAGATAATAAATGTATAGAATTTTTATTTTTTTATTTCATATTTACGAAGAAAGTCAATACAATAGATTAAAAAAATAATGTGCAAGCATGATATTTTTTTATACGGAAATTGAACACGTAATCAATACAAATTACCTAAATTCCTCTTCACGACGAATTCTAATGGCTTTGCAAGCATGATTGTTAAAACATAAACATGTGAGGTGATTCGATATGGAACTATGATTCATTTATATTTTAAAAATTCTGACGTGTCGTATTTGACACTCCAACATGCATTGCATAAGCTCAAAAAAAGTTCAAAGATTACATCACGTTGTATTTTTAGTTTCAACTATTCGATTTGTTGGATTAACGTTATCATTTTATTGAGTTTAATATTAATATGGAGAAAGGATATACCTACAAAATCTATTTTCGTTTACAATATCTTATAATCACATTTTAACCGTTGATTTCTGTCAACCTGACGATTATAATTTATTGAAAATTAATAATTAATTAATAAATGTGATCCAATAAATTATAATTGTTAAATTGACAAAAATCAACAGTTAAAATATGATTATAAGAAGTTGTAAATGAAAATAGGTTATAAGTATAACCTTCCTCGTAAATATTTAAAATATCTTTTTTTTTTTATAAAATTGATATATATTATAAATTTAGTTTATTTTTTTTAAATTATTAAATATTAAATATAATATATAGTATATAAATTAAAAATATTTTTTAAATTATCGTATAGAATATTATGTATGTATGTGTCGAAATTTAATATTTATGTACGTAAGAAGTCGTTTACTTTTAGACCTCATCCCAGCTGATAGAAGCCCTAAAACCCTGGCTGACATCAAAGACGTGATGCTTTTCTTCTTCGTCGGCGACAGCAATCAGTAGAACACAAAAACAAAAATGGAAATCAGTACGGTCATGGATATCGAGGAACAACCTTCACCCAACCCCAACAACGTTAAACGCTTCGGTCTTAAAAACTCTATTCAAACTAACTTCGGTGACCACTATGTTTTCCAAATCGTCCCAAAGTACGCTCTTATTTTTCTAAGCCGTGAAATTATACTCAAAACTCAATGAAAAATATCGAAGTTTCCTTTTTGGTTCTTTTAATCGAAATTGTGCTCTAATTATTTTGTGGGGTTTTCTTGCTGTTTCTGAATGGAAGGGATGATTGGAGTTCAATGGCGGTGTCATTGTCAACGAACGCGGTGAAACTGTATTCACCTGTGGGGGGTCAATATTATGGAGAGTGCATGGGTCACTCTGCAACCATTAACCAGATTTTGTTTTCGGGTCCTTCCAATCCCCATGTTCTATGCTCCTGTTCTTCAGATGGCACAATTAGAGCTTGGGACACACGAACGTTTCAGCAGGTAGATTTGATTTGTTTCTTCTCTGATTCTGTGTTTTGTTTATAATTGATACCAATTTGCTGCTTGAGTGTTGAACTGAATGGCAAAATTGCAGGTTTCTTTCATCAATGCTGGTTCTTCTCAAGAGATCTTCAGCTTTTCTCTTGGAGGGCCTAATGGAAATTTAATTGCTGCTGGCTGTAAATCACAGGTTTGCTTTCGGCTGCGGCTACTTCAGTGATACTTTATGAAGTGATTTAAAGTTTAAACTAGTGTGTAAGCTATTCCCTCCTGTATAATTTTGCACAGATACTCTTCTGGGATTGGAGAAATAAGAAGCAAATTGCATGCCTACAAGACTCTCATGTTGATGATGTTACTCAGGTTTGTGCTTTTCAACTTGTTTTTTGACCACTTACCCCCTCCCCTCAATTGTTCGTCATAATTAATGCACGTATATTCCTGGTGGGGCTTATCTCATCTACTTGTAGCCTGTTATAGAACGAGGTGATGAAAATAATTGTTACTGGTATATTGTGTAAATAAGATGAAGATGACAGTGGCAATCCCTTTTAACTTTTCTTAGCTAAAATAAAGCTTTAGCAAGTTCTTATAGTAGCTTCTATTCTTTTGATAAATAAAATGATTTTTATTATTCCATGTGAGGCATGGATTCATGACTGATTTGTTGTTGAAAGTGTGTATTGATGCTAGGTTCATTTTGTCCCTGGCAAAGAAGGCAAGCTGATATCTGCTTCAGAAGATGGGTTGATCTGCACATTTGATACTACTGGCGATATCAATGATGATGATCATCTAGAATCAGTAAGTCTAGACTCTAATTCAATTTCCATTAGTTGATAATTCTTGCAAGTTGCAACCATCTTGAATGACCAAAGATATCAGAGACAGCTAGGCAATCATTGGGATAGGATTGTATTCTGCTATTGAGTATTTCAAGGGACATACCTTTTCCAATTTGTGTAGGGATTGAGGCATTGAGCAGCCTTGATTTATTTTATTTTTTTCACATGATGTAATTTGTTGTGTTTTTTTTGAAGGATTTCTTATCCTCCCTTTTATCCTGATAAAAATGTTTTATCTATGTATAGTTTGCATGAAAAAGTTTTGCAGTGTGCTCTTTAAATTTTTTTTCTTTTTGGTTTCTTTTGTTACCATTTTACTTTGATCCCATAGCTATGTAATTTAATGATGAAATTGATACTCATTACTCTATCTGCTACCGCGATGCTTACATATGTAGAGCTCAAGTTTCACATTTTAAAAATAAAAGGTTTCTTTGAGTCCTTTGTAAATTTGGACTATGGTAAGTTTCTCTTGCAAAATGAATAAAATTTTTGTTTACAAAATTGTAGGTGATTAATGTAGGGACTTCAATTGCAAAGGTGGGGACTTTTGGAGAAAGTTATCAGAAGCTTTGGTGCTTAACACATATTGAAACCCTGGGGTATGGTTTATCTCGTTAGTTTTCTATTTATTTATTTTAACAGATAGATATAGTTAGTCGTTTCCTATCTCATCTGCAATGAGGCATATTATGGTGGTGTGCTTTATCCTTCATTCAATGTTGTTATATTTGCTTAAGAAAGGTAAATTCATACAGAGAAGAAACAACTATCATACAGATTAATAATGTCTGTGCAGATAGTATTCCAGCTCTACTGTTTATGCCAATAATTACTTAATGACTGGAAAGATGCATATGCATACTAATTCTTCCCCCTTTTGCAATGTCTGATTCTAATATTTCATTGTACTCTGTGTTGCCTAGTATCTGGGACTGGAAAGATGCTAGAAATGAAGCGAACTTGTCAGATGCTCGTACTTTAGCTTCTGAAGGCTGGACTTTGGATCATGTGAGTTCCTCCCTATTTTGATTGAATACACTTATATAATTGAACTGGAAAAGTATTGAGCTCTATATGAACATGCATGAAAACTGTAGTTTTTATCTCAAAAAACAAAAAATGTGATGTGTAGCAATCTTATGAAGAGATGACATATCATTGCTTGTCAAAAGAAAGAGAAAAAGGGACTGTGGTATGTGTTGAAAGAATTATAGCTCTCTTAAAGGTTAATCCTCCAGGAGAAGAAAATGCTTGTATTTATATGTTATATGTTCTCTTTAGATTTTATGCTGAGGATAAAAATACATGAAATTAGCCCAAAGCAAAATTTGTATACTGCTGCAGTGTATGCCCACAAATTGATATTTCTTTCTTTTGCCAGGTTGATTATTTTATTGATTGTCACTACGGTAGAGAAGCTGAAAAATTATGGGTTATTGGTGGCACTAATGCTGGTGCTTTGGGCTACTTTCCCGTAAATTATAACGAAGCGGCAACAATTGGAGCTGCAGAAGCAATTCTAGAGGGTGGCCATACAAGTGTTATTAGGAGTATTTTACCCATGTCAAGAATTCATAATGGAACTAGTAATAGTCCTAGCCCTGGCATTTTTGGATGGACAGGTGGGGAAGATGGTCGGTTATGTTGTTGGCTATCTGATGATTCCCCTCAAATCAATCAATCTTGGATTTCAAGCACATTGATTGTGAGGCCAGAAAGAACTCGCAAGAATAATCGTCATCATCCCTACTAGCAATAGCATGCCAATGTCAACAGAGCATTTCTCTTTATTATTTTTCATTTAGTTAGTTTTATTTCTCCCTACAACTTGGGTTGAGTTTTGATAAAACATTTTGTTTTCATATATGTGTATGTATCTACTGCATGTAATATTTGTACTCTGGGTATTTTAGGGTGCAAATGACAATGTTTTTAAAAATATATTTTTTATTTTTTATTTATAATCTAGGAAATAAAAATAGTTAGATATTGTGTTATCAAATACAACTATGTTCGTAGAAATTGAAATAAATTATGTTATAAATATATTTTTCTGTAGACTTTTCCCAAACACGAATGGAAAAAAATTATTTCTCTCTCCGAATAGTGCGAATAAAATAGAATGGATCATTCTTGCTGATTATTCTGTAATAGTGTATGTGTCAATGTTTTTTCTTATATCTTTTATGAAACTAAAGGTGTTAAAACGGATTTGGCCTGTTGCATCAACCTGTTTCACCCGTCTTGGCAGATTGGGATGAAAATTTCAACCTTTTAACCCGTTCTAATTAAGGCAGTTTAAAGCGGGTCATCATGCAAGTTAGGTTATTTTTTCGTGTCTAAGTAATATTTTATTTGTTATCTCAAACTTTTGTAATATCCAAAAAATTTATTTCATTACTCCTCACTTGATGTATGACAAAAGATTCTATATATAAAGACAAATGAATTCTTAGAGACTATCACATTGAATGTTATATAAGTGAAAAAATAAAACTTAATGTGAAATGAAATTAAGTAGTACCATAAAACTTATATATAAAAAATATTTATTAAGTTTTTTATTTTTTAAACAGATTAAACTGCTATAAAACGAAGAGGAAGATTATACTTACAACTTTTTTTATTATGAATTAATAATTAATTAATGAGTTTAATTTGCAAAAATCATAACCGTTAATTGACGAAAATCAATGGTTATGATATATAATTGTAAGAGGTTGTAAAATAAAATAAAATTGTAACTATAACTTCTCTCTAAAACGAGACATCAAAATTTTCAACCTACTTTTAAAAGGTGAGGTAACCCGCCCTGACGCAGTTCATGAGTGGCCAGCCACACCTATATGTTATCTGTAATTCTATCCATTTACGGGATTACATTGATGATTATGTAATTTTCTTTTAAGTGATGATTTTGTAAAATCAAATAAACAAAAATTCACAAAAAAATCTATGCTGGTTTTATTTAGAAAATTGATGACAACTTGGATATTGGCACGTGATGCTTTTCGTAGTGGAATTATAACTACATGGTTTCTTTTCAAAGCCAGAGCTACGCCCCAGCTTTTGGGCAGCAAGGACCCCAATCAGAAAAAACAAACAACATGGTCAACTTTGCCAAATACAGGAAGGGAAATATTGGAAGTCTGAAAAGCATAGAACAGTCCCGGTCAGGGTCTGACCACGAATAAATTAATCAAAACTAAGGGCATACATAGCCATTCAGTTTGTAATTCATTGGGTGACTTACTGAGAAAAGCTAAAGCAACCAGCTGGCCCCCTCCCCAAAACATACAAGAGAACCAAATTGCACACAAAGCCAAACTCTGCTGGCAACTTTTATCAGTTTCATTGTTACTTCAGCCTTCAACACTGGCAAGAATCACTATTCAGCATGAGAGGGGAAGGACACAGTTCATCTCTAACTGCCTTAGAAAATACTAAAACATGAGTTCAAGCTAAGACCCCCAAACATTTATGTACAGGTGGAACATCTCTAAATATAATAGCAAGTTTGCCATTGGGAAGGTATGAAAGATTATGCAGGCATAGAAGCTTTCCTCGAGTAATATAATAGCACCAACACTTTTTTTTTTTATACCATAAACACAAGAAAAACACTGGAAAGCTAAAATCCAAGGATGCACAGGAAACACCAAATCTGCAGCTGATACGCATAAGAGACAAGCGCAAATGCCTCTTAAACTTGGAAACTGGCCCATCTGAACTTGTAGTTCATATCACTTGTTTGAATCAACCTCTACCTCGCCCTGCACCTACCAAAAGAAGCAAAGGCATCGGATGAATCCCAAGATTTAAAGAAAAAGGCATATATAAATTTTATGCAAGACATTTCCAACCATAAATTTTAACATTAAAACTACCAAATTTAAGAATCAGTAATGTGTTCTTTAAATAATAATTACTTTTACACTGAAGAAATTTCTTGGTCATCAGGAGCTCATAAGGAAACTGAACTGAGAGACATGGTGAATTTAAGGAATAGAAAGCAACGTACGAAGAGGTAGTAATACATGCAATGAGTGCATTTATGATTTACCTCTGTTTCCACCAGGTTTTCCACCTAGGCCACCTCTTCCTCGCCCTCCTCCAGCTCCCTTAGCACCACCATCATCGAGACCACGCCCAATTCCTTTTGTTTGGCGTCCACCAGCACCATCCTCCCTACCTCTTCCCCTTCCACGTCCCACACCAGGTGGTTTGCGATCTGAAAAGGGAGACATTAATCAAAGATCTTTCTATTTTTTTGCGTAACTGGAATGCTGCACGAATAACAGTTTATAATATGTGGGTAAATTAACTCGCTCAAAGTGATAATATGATATTGTTTGCAGATTTATAAAAAAAGTAATATGCATCTTTATTATGACAAGCATGCCAATATTCCTTTTACTTTTTCCCTCTTATAGATCACCGAGTCAATTTAAACATAGAGATGAACGACCAACTGTTGGGTCCATCAGGGGAAGTTTGTTGGGTTCATTAGGGGGAGTCCAAAACACCGAGGAGATATGTACCAACAATAGCTTTTGACACAATGTCTTAAACCCAAAATCTTAAGGCATTAGATTTATGGTTTCCCAACTTGTCCATTCTTATCTAACAATGGACTTTATCACTCACATCCCCATTGCACTCAGACTTGAATTGTCAACAACTAGATATCAAAACAATGCATACCTGCACGGCTCTTGGTTTCTTCCTGAACTTTGTCAATAACCTAAAATAATAAGCAAAAAAGTAAGATTAGCTGATAAATGCATGTATGACTCAGACATCACTCAACAAATTCTCAAACCATTCACTATAAGGCCCCAATGCATAAGGCTCCCACCATTGCGGGGTTAGAGAAAGGGTAGATGTGCACAACAGATCTACCCTTTACCAAAAGAATTTTTATTTTTATTTTTTTAAATTCTCAACACCACAACACACCTCATCAGGAACTCGAAGGTACTTAATTGTATTGCCTCGTATGTAGCATTCAGGCATCCGCCAAAATCTATCTCCGTCCTACATTGCGAATTTCAATCAAACTTTGTCAACAAACATTTCAATAATCATAATAATCAAGCAGCCAACAAAACACAAGACAATAATAAATAAGAATGAAAGGAACAAGGGCATATAAAAAGAACATTACTTTCGAGGTACAAATGACTTCTCGAAGATGAATGTTCATCCACGTATCGCAATTAACCAAATGCCCGTTATAAGTCTCCCCATTTTTCAGTTCCACCAGCTGTTACAGCATGTAAAAGTATAATTCTTTTTTTATATATATATGAAAAAATAAAATAAAACAATTCAATAGAAATCAAAAGAACAACACAAGTTACAATAGTGACAAGATAGAAGAAAGAAAAAGGGTCAATTACCATAGGGTGGCCTTGGGCAGTCTTGAGAAGGGAAAGAGGAAGCTGCAACAACAATTAAATGAATAAGCTAAGAATGCGGCGAATTAACAGAGACTGTGAGCGTAACAGCAACGGTAACCCTATTGCTTCCGTTTTGATAAGAAAACTTTCACCCCAAAGAGTTTAGGATACGGACACCGACATCCTATGATCATTTAACTCTTAAAAATTATATATTAAAAAGAAAAGAAAAAAAAGGAACAGAGAATAGGAGGGTAGAGATACTCCCAACACCAGAGATCTAGGTATTCGTTGTTAGCGTTTGAAAATAATGAGGTTGAAGAAAGAGAGGTGGTGTTTACCATCTGGCGGATCGGTGGTTCAAATGTTGGTTTCTGTGTGTTGGCGTGTGTCGTCGTCGATGATGTTTTGCGTTTCAAAAGAAAGCCAAGTTCCAAGTCACAGAGAAGAGCTCTACACCCCTCTATGACCTGTTGATCTCTTATTTATAATATTTTGTGTTTTAATTGAGAACTTATCTTAACGATGATAAGGGTTTTTTTTTTTTTTTTTTTTACTGTTTCTTTTATCCTTAATTTGTATTTAAATGGATTATATCCTTTCATGTGATCTCATATCTCATAAGAGAGTTTATTTTCACAAAAATATCCTCAAAGATAAAAAGGATGAATGACATGTGATAAAATCTTAAGCATTTCGATATAAATCATCTCTGGTTAGAAATGAAATAAGATAAATAGTAAGTAAAGAATAAGTGTTAATTTGTATTTTATCTCTAATCTTCACAATCCATTCCATATTTAACCTATCAAATGCACGGATAAATTATTTATTTTTAAATGATTAATTTTTAATTTGTATCTTATTTTAAAATTATATTATTTTTTATTTTTATAATTTTTTCTCTACCTAAAATAACATCATTTTGAAGTAATACGAGGAATGTTAAATCTTTTTTATTTGTTGTTATTTATTATTTTATTTTTATACAATGTAAACTTTATTCATATAATTTATTTCTTAACACAATTTTATCTAAGATTCTTGTTTACACGTTATGTAAATATTTATCTCCATAATTTATAATATGTTTATGTATAAGGTTTTTATTCTACATGATGCGAATATTTATCTTATAATTTAGGTCGAACCACATTTATATATTCATACGCATTTATGTAATGTTTTCATCGCAATGAGATATAAATATTTATTCCTATAATTTAAATAATAATATGTTTTTATGGAAATCTTTTATTCCGTATAATAAGAATATTTATCTTATAATTTAAGGATCCGTTTGGTGGACATGAATAAAATAAATAGGACTTACTAAGAATTGAAAAAGATATGGCAAGTTCATATCTTAGCCGATGTTTAATGTATACTAGATAAGTAATATGATAAGATAATATTATCTATCAAGAATTTGAGGTAAATCATATGGTGTTATCATATAATATAAACAAACAAAAATACACATTTTAACAAAATTTCATATGATTTTTTAAAATACTTTTTTTATTTATTTACAAATTAGTTCTTATTTTACATTATTAAATTTTTTTAAAATCCACAATTTTAGATAAAATATATTAAAATACATAAATAACTTATACAGAAATTTAAAATCTATATCCTCACCAAATAAATTTTTAAAAATTAAAGTTTAAAATTGATTGTCAATATTGATAGTATGGTGGGTGATCGATTGAAGTGATGGTAGCAATTGTGGGGGTTAGTTACAATTAGTGGTGGTGGCGATTATGATTGGTGGATGATGATTGGGTGTCTGCTGGTTAGGGGTGGTGGCCAATGGTAATGACAACGATGGTAGTGGTGACATGTGAAAGTGGTGGTGGGGCGACAAGTGAACATTGTGGGAGATGATGTGGTGGATGTTATGGTGGCGATGAAGGTTTGTGTCTGGTGGTTGGGGTGACAATGGTGGTGGCTGATAGCTCGTACTGATGGTGGCAGTTAGAGCTGTCAAAATGGGCTTTGGCTCTGGGGCCAACCCATATAGCCCCATGTTAAACCCTATAAAATTTTAGCCATCTATGTAATGGGATCATTTTAACCCCATCCTCTTAAAGCCCTCTCATTACAGGGATATGTTGGAGCTGGCCGCGGACTACAATAATCAACCCAATTTACAGCTTTTCTCTTTGACACTTCAAACTATGTGACTGGAATGCAACACAGACGCTGGAGAATTGGGAATAGTGACCAAAGTGTCACTGTTGGCCAAAAAAATTACTAGACTGCCACGCCAACAATAAATTTTGTCAAAATGTCACGTGACATATTTTGCTACATTGTGTAGCGAAATATGTGTGCAAATAATTCGCTATACAGTGTAGCAAAATATGTCATGTCAGACTGCTCAGAACAAAAAATGCCATGTGTCAAAATTGAAGAAATTCGCTACATAGGGTAGTGAATTTCTACAATTTTGACACGTGGCATTTTTGGTTCTAACGTGACATATTTCGCTACACCGTGTAGCGAATTATTTGCACACATATTTCGCTACACAGTGTAGGGAAATATGTCATGTGATATTTTGATAAAATTTACTATTAGCATGACAGTCTGATAATTTTTTTAGCCAATGACCAAATAGTCAATCTTTCCGGAGAATTGAGGGTATCAGCATAGAAACTTCGGACCACCCACTGTTGCTTAAGGCATGAGAGTATACGTTTGTTCTTTTTCTCTTTGTTCTTTTTGTCGTTCCACCCACTGTCGCTTAAGGGATGAGAGTATGAAGTGTATAATATTTTTGTTTTAACTTACCAATATGCTATTTTTGTTTTTTTTTTATTAGAACAAGTTTCAAAAAGAATGAATTTGTTGATAAATTAAAATATTAGTAAGTTGAAAATTTTAGTGTAGTAAATTATTGGTAAATGTATAATTTTGAAAACCGATTTATATCAACAATAATTTTTTTTAAAATAAAATAATATAAGTAACATTTTTCAAGTGTTGAATATTATATTTATTTTTCCTTTGTAATAATTTTTATGCACCATTTTATTAATTTTTTTTTTTTTAAAATACATATTATTTTTTTAGAAGGTTCGTGGACAGGCCCTAACCCACTTGAGCTAGGGCTATATGGGCTGAACTGAGTCCATTTCGACAGCTCTAGTGGCGGCGGTGGCGGTAGTGGGTGGAAGAGGTGGCCAATGGCCAGCGACGACGGTGGTGGCAGCTGAATGGAGGCAATGGTTGATCCTCACATGCCCGACAAAGTTCTTAAGAGAAGAGCATAATGACAACTTATCATGTTCATTCCTAACTCATTCCCTCTTTAGGATAGCTTATCTGCTGTGGACAAAAAAAGAAGAAGCCAATATGATAAGCTTATCATATCTTGTTGATTCACCAAATAATATTATATATAAGAACAAAATAAGTCTGTCCTATCTTGTCATATCTTATTTTATTTTTTTAGAGATATTTCAATCAATTTATTGTTTTGCGACTAGTCTGATTCGAGGCAGGTAATGAAATTAAAGCTTTATTAATTCATCAAATAATGGATAAAAATATTATATAATAGTCTATTCTGTGTCTCTATCCTTACCATCAAACGAGGCAGGACACCGAACTTTAGTTAGCAAAGATGGAGTAATTTCTCTCTTTGCTGAGCTCAAGTTCCTTTTCCTTTACCAAAAGTTTGAATCAGAATAATCATTTTCATGGTTCTATTATTTGATGTATGGAATCATTTTTTATGTTAAATTGAAACATTTTATTGCAGTTACGTCCGGTCCAGGAGAAAAAGAAGTACAAAATTACGAATTAAATTTAAAGGCGCATAAAAATATCACAAGCTCTCACATCTTAACTAACAACTTAAGATCAGATATACTTCATATCAAACCATCTGCCATATCTGTATGCTGTGTAGAGCGCTAACCACACACTCCAGTTCCATGCAAGTACATCCGCTTCCAATATCCAATACATATTACGAAGTATTTCAACCGACAGTTATTGTGCTGTATGCCTAAGGTCAGCAACAAGAAGTCCAGTAGTCCATTGCAATTTGCAAGACAAGTTTTCTAACTTCTTTGAAAACTGAACTTCAAAAGATTCTTAGTTATTATGAATAGAATTTGCCACATTAACGAATAATTCCCCTCCACCCTCCCATAATTCAGAGTAAATGAAAAGAATGAAACATAATGAACGGTCAGCAGAAGCTCTGGCCTTTGAATGGAATAGGACCCCTCTGTGTAGGCATGGCAGATCTGAAAAATCAGTCCAGTGTGCAACATGTAAAACCTATGGCTTCTTGATAGAAATAGTCCAAAGAAGATCTGAATCAGACTGCACTGTTACTATATCTCCCTTTACAATATTTGATGTGCTTATTAAACCTCCAAATCTCATCTCCGTGTCATCTGAAATATTCAAATTAAAATGTTACTCATCAGACTCCACTGCCAAACAATATTAGAACTGGGTGATTAAAAAGGCAATGAAAGATGTGAACTCATCTGAACCATCACTGCCTCATCACACCAAAGCATCATATTTATAAGTGTTGATGTTCTGATAGACTGCTAATTAGCTTATTTATTTATTCATTAGGAACACTGGAAAAAAGTGTGTCCATCCTATATACTGATTAATAACAGCCACAAAAGAATCAAATTTTTGTGATAGCATATCACTAGCAATGATTACCATCTTAATTAAAGCCTCAGGAAGAATATTTTCATTCAGCTACAGACTAACAAGTTTAGAATGGAAGTAATCACCAAACATTATTATTAAAAAAAAAAATACAATACGTACTGAGGTCCCACTGAAGTCCGGTGGTTGTAGTACTTCCAGATGGCATCCCAATGGGAATGAGTCCACAATGAGGACCCTCAACAGAAGATTGAATAAAGATTTTATGACAGTGATTCTTTGGAAGAAGGTGGATGAGGCAATCATCAGATAAAAGGATAATTCGTGTGTTGGAGAATCGGCACAGCACATTAATATTTCCAATCTCATGGTCAAATCTCCCACCAAGTGCTCCGGCAACAAGAATGCATAGCTGCCATTATGTTAAGAGGAGGAAAAAAAGAAAAAGCAGGGGGGGGGGGGGACGGGCCAGCTGAGGTTAATTATGATAGTAAAGAAAGAATTACTATCAAAAAGGGATAAGGACTGATACTACACCAGATCTAATTCATTTCAATTATTCCAAAATTATCTAAGCCTAAAGTTAAATTTGACATCAGCTCACTCCCCTGCCTCCTCCCTCCAAAAGAAAAGTAGAAAATAAAAAGTATAACAAGATATTCGACTTACTTCTGATTTATCAATATTTGGTGTGAGGTCACGTATGTATGCTACACATTTGTGTAAATCTGTGGTGTCCTGATCATGTGACTCATCAATTATCTTAGTTCCCTGCAGGAAGCAAACTAGCATAAGACCCTTGACATGATTTATGTTATGTAAGATTGTAACAAAGGAACAAAAAGATGGCAATTTGGTGTGAACTAGAAAGTTGAATTTTGAATTCATTTTCTCCATTACATGCACGTGTGCGCTGAGACACACAAAAACCATTAACATATAGATAGAGGTCTTATGCCTATAAGAAAGAAAACCATAACATATACCAGCTTTGCATAGAAATCAAGTACTTCTGTCCTTATTGAATCCATGTCACCTTTGATTGCATCAGGCTTGTACCTGATACAAACCTTGCAGTTAGACAAAAGGAAATCTGCAACCATAAACTCCATAGACTAGAGGTGGAAAACAATCAATGTTGCACAGTTTTTAGTCTAACCCAGTTGTAACACCCCAAATTCTAACAATTGATAATAGCATAAATAATTTCAATAATTTTTGTAAATAACAGCGGAAGTTCAAAATAATCAAATTTGGAAAGTGTTACTGCCGCACTTGTACTATGGACAGGTGCAAGGCTAAATTTATTACATTAAAAATAAAACCAAAGACTAAAGTTTAAATAAAGGAAATATGTCTTATGCATTTATTTAAATCTCATAAAATTTCTAAACTTAGAAACTAGCTAGAAATATAATATCCGAGTCGTGATCCTCGCTGCCCACAGCTAGCCCCATCCTTTGCAACATGCTTCACTGAAAATCTGCTCCCCGTGAAGGATCATTGCAGTTAAACAAACACAAAAGTCAGCAAAGCTGGTAATCCAAATCCGATATACAAAAATAAATAAATAAACAAAAAGGATGTAACTCATGATAATCCAATAAAATAATATAACTCAAAAATTCGAATCAAATGTCAACTTGTTATTAATTATATTAATATTTATTTAATCCATTTAGTCTATTTAGTGGGAAGAGAACCATGGTAGACCCGGGGAACCCTGCCAGTCTACCCTGTGACCCGGGAAACCCTGCCAGTCACAAACAAATCACTTTGGCCATAATCAATTCACATCTTCCTAGTGTGCACACCTCTTCCCAAAGTTGCTACTAGTATCCCGGGAAACCCTGCCAGACACCACTTTGGGAAGAACGGATATAATCTTTTTCACATCAGTTTCACATCGGAGGCATAAAGCCCAAAAATTGTGTTCATCACTTTGGGAGGTACCATCCCAAAGCTATCCTCCCACTATTATTATTATTATTATTTTTTTATATAGACATAACAAAATTTCCCAATTTATTTTAAATATATGTAATATCTATTTTCTGCAGCAAACAATTAATTTCCAATTTACCAAAACATATATATATATATATATATTAGTGCCTCAATTTATAAAGTAAAGCACAGAATATAAAAAAAACAATTGAAACTAAATTCATATAACTAATGTATTTGAAATATGTTCATCACGTAAATCGAAAAGCAGAATTGCAATATATGTAACTTGAAAGAAACGATTCAGATGGTAGATGGTGAACATACATCTAATTCAATTGAAAGTGACGCACAAAAATCGAGAAAGGAGATTTGTTTGTTTGTTTTTGTTTTGTGAACTATATCATGTATAAAAGCAACGATAAGTATAATTCGAATTCAATTAAAGAATTGCACAGAAATCAAAAGAAATTTGCAACGAAGTGTAACTATGATATATATTTAGGATCATAATTATCCTATCAAAATTCATATAAAATTAACCTAAGACTTCTAAGGATTAGGATTACACATATCAAATTTCACATAAAATAAATATAATCTAAAAATACCTAGGGATTAGGATTACCTGGTCTCTGTTTTCGCTAACTTTTAGAAGAAAAGAGTAATTTGGGGCAGAGAACCGGTTGATAAAAAAATATAAAGATTGAAAATAATTAAAATAAACTTTTTGGAGTGAGAAGAGAAAGAGAGTAGTAGAGGAGAGTGAATTGGTTTGGTTAGGCTAGGTCTCTATTTATAGTTGAAGTTTAGGGCTTATACATTACTGACTCAATGCTGACTCATCATATCTAAACAATTTATGTCATCATATCTAAACAATTTATGTTGAGTCATCATATCTAAACAATTTATGTTTGTTGACTCATCCTAATCCAATCAAACATTACCAATCAAATAATCAAACATTAAAGCATAATGATCAATCAAATAATAACAATTTATCACCCATTATTATTATTACTAATTTATAATTTATTACTTTTATTAATTTATTGTATTATAAATTACTATTATTTTTCTGGGATATTACATTCTACCCTCCTTAAAAGAAGTTTCGTCCTCGAAACTTAAAAGTTTGAGCTTCTCAAATAACTAAAAGGCATAAGGTACTAGAATCTTAAAATTGTAGCACGTAAACAAATTAGCAAGCTAACAAATTAGTAAGTAGACAAAATATGAATTATAGGATAATATACGACAATTTTGAACATTTTTATGCCAATGAATTGGTAACTAATGTGTTGCTAACTCTTACCTCTCCCTAAAAGAAAAGTTTCGTCCCCGAAACTTAATTGCGTACCCTCTTCGAATAAAAACGGGTATTTATTGCGCATATCGTCTTCTACCTCCCATGTTGCTTCTTCTACCTTTTGACTCCTCCACAAAACTTTAACTAATTTGATTGACTTATTTCTCAAAATTCTTTCACTTTTATCAAGAATTTTTACAGGACGTTCTTCATATGTGAGATTCTGATCTATCTTGATAGACTCAGGCTGAAGCTTGTGCAAAGGATCTGGTATATACTTCCGGAGTTGAGATACGTGGAAAACATCGTGTACATTCTCCAATTCCATTGGAAGAGCTAGTCTGTATGACACTTCACCAATTCGCTCAATGATCTCATATGGGCCAATATACTTTGGACTTAACTTGCCTTTCTTTCCAAATCTCATCACCCCCTTCATCGGTGATACTCTTAAGAATACTTTTTCTCCAGTCTCGAATTCTACTGGTCGTCGCCGTTGATCTGCATAAGACTTTTGTCGATCCTGAGCTGTTTTCATCTTTTCTTGAATCACTTTAACTTGTTCCATCGATTCTTGAATCATATCTGGACCCACAATGCCAGCTTCTCGAAAATCATTCCAACATAATGGGCTTCTGCACCTCCTACCGTACAATGCTTCGTAGGGTGCCATATCGATGCTCGCATGGTAGCTATTGTTGTAAGAGAATTCGACCAAAGGTAAACACTTATCCCAAGATTGATTGAATTCCAAAGCGCAGGCTCTTAACATGTCTTCAAGAGTTTGAATCGTCCTTTCCGTCTGTCCATCTGTAGCAGGATGAAAGGCTGTGCTATATTTGAGTTGGGTTCCAAAAGCTTGCTGAACCTTAATCCAGAAGTTTGATAAAAACCTTGTATCTCTATCTGAGACTATGTCCTTTGGGACTCCATGCAACCTCACTATATCTCGCACATAAGCATCGGCCAACTGGTTCAAACCCCATGTGTTTTTCATCGCAATGAACCTTGCAGTCTTAGACAACCTGTCAACTATGACCCAGATAGCATTCTTGTCTCCTCTAGTCAGAGGTAAACCTGTGACAAAATCCATAGAAATTGACTCCCATTTCTCTCTCGGAACTTCCAATGGTTGCAACACTCCTGCAGGTCGTTTGTGCTCAATTTTCACCTTTTGACAAGTAAGACACCTTGCTACAAATTCAGCTATTTCTCTCTTCATCCCAGGCCACCAAAAACTCTTCTTTAGATCTTTGTACATTTTTACTCCTCCTGGATGAACTGAGTAGGGCGTATTGTGTGCTTCTTCTAAAATCTTTCTCTTTATGCTTTCATTGTCTGGCACGCATAATCTACCCTTGAACTTCATTGTGCCACCTTCGTCAATTTTAAAGTCTACAGCTTCTCCTTGACTTTTCTTCTCCTTAATTCCTTGCAACAAAGAATCGGATGCTTGCGCTTCACGGATCTCATCAAAGATAGTTGGTTGAATGGTGAGAGCATTAAGCATAACTTTTAGATCCGTGGGTAGAAATATTTCAATCTCCAACCTCCTGAACTCTTCATATAATTCATTGGGTACTACAAAAGCATTAAGGGTATGTCTCGATTTCCTACTAAGTGCATCGGCCACTACATTGGCTTTGCCTTCGTGGTATTGGATCTCGAGATCATAATCCTTAATGAGTTCTAACCACCTCCTTTGCCTCATGTTAAGCTCCTTCTGGGTGAAGATATACTTCAAGCTCTTGTGATCCGTGTACACCTTACAAGTGGAGCCATATAAATAATGCCTCCATATTTTCAGAGCAAAAACCACAGCAGCCAACTCCAAATCATGGGTGGGATAATTTTCTTCATGCGACTTCAACTGCCTTGAGGCATACGATATCACCTTTCCGTGTTGCATCAGAACACAACCAAGTCCATTTTTGGAAGCATCACTAAAGATCTCAAACCCACTTGTTCCTGATGGCAATGTTAAAACCGGAGCTGAAGTAAGACGCTTCTTGAGTTCTTGAAAAGAGACCTCACAAAATTCATCCCAGTGAAACTTCGTTGTTTTACGTATTAACCTTGTCATTGGCTGAGCTGTCTTCGAGAAATCCTTCACAAACCTTCTATAATAACCTGCCAAACCGAGAAAACTCCTGACTTCCGCAATATTTGTAGGCCTAGGCCATTCAGTGATAGCTTTAATCTTCGCTGGATCAACAGAAACTCCTTCTTGAGATATTACATGACCCAAAAAGGCAACCTTCTCCAGCCAAAACTCACATTTTGAGAGTTTTGCATACCATTTATTCTCTCTTAGAATATCCAATACAATCCTCAGATGTTGCTCATGCTCTTCCCTCGTCATGGAATACACCAAAATATCATCTATGAAGACCACCACGAATTGATCTAAGTATTGCTTGAAGGTTCTATTCATCTGATCCATAAAAGCTGCCGGAGCATTCGTTAAGCCAAAAGGCATGACCGTAAACTCATAGTGCCCATATCTGGTACGAAAGGCCGTCTTTGGGATGTCGTCTTCCTTGATTCGTACTTGATGATATCCAGTCCTCAAATCTATCTTTGAGAACATACCTGCTCCTTTCAATTGATCAAACAAGTCTTCAATCCTTGGCAATGGGTATTTGTTCTTTATGGTCACCATGTTCAGATCCCTATAATCAATACACAACCTCATACTCCCATCTTTCTTTCGCACAAACAAAACTGGAGCTCCCCACGGCGAAACACTCGGCCTTATGTACCCCTTGTTTAACAGTTCTTCAAGTTGGGTTTTTAACTCCTTCAATTCTGCCGGAGCCATCCTATATGGTGCTTTTGATATCGGAGCAGTACCGGGCATAAGATCGACAGCAAACTCTACTTCTCTA